CTCCGTATTTAGTTTTGGCCAAGCAATATAGTCATGTTAAGAAATAAAAATAGTGGATAAAATCCATCTAATTTTAGTTTGTAGTACTAAACAGTGCTCCAACAGAGAACAAACAATCTCAAAAAAGTTTGAAAAGCCTAGTGAAGAAATATTAAATCAGTGATTTGCAAGTGCATGTGTGGGGTTGCAAATTATAGACTCCACACTCTAACATAGCTTGTGAAAATATCTCTGCTATTTCATAAAGATGTGACTCATGACAATTCTAAATTAGTATTGTCGTTTACCCTTATCACTAGGACTCACTACTACACATTCAATTCCATGTGAAAATATACAGTGTCAGTAGCAGATTTCAATTGCGATTGGTACATTTATGGTATATTTGGATGAAGCATCTAACACGTACTACTTTTTATAATCCTTCATCAACCACTCTTTCATACTCCGATGTATTCTGCATTCTAAAAGGAGTTCAACAGGCAACGGAACATGGCATTTGCGCTTATCATTCGGATGGGAACATATAGAGAAAACTTTAGAACATTACCGATAAACTTTAGAACGTAGTAAAGAAACTTTAGAACATGTAAGTAAATTGAAATTAAAACATTAAAAACAATAAAATTACCTGAATAAGTAACACAAGAAGAAGGATAATTAGGTTGAACACCATCTAAATCCATCAATATGCAAAAACCTATTTAAAAAAACACAAATTGTAGCAAAAAAGCAACTAGAAATTAAAATCCATTAAAAATCAAAAATCTGGAAAAAAACTCAAGCAAAGGAAAAAACAGAAAATCTGGAAATGAAAAATCACAAAAAAAAACAAAAAAAACAGAAAATTAATGAAAAAAAACTGAAGAAAATTCGCAAAAAAAAAAAAAACAGATAAAATCGAAAAAAAACAGAAAATAATTGCTCGAAAGTCGGAAAAAAAAAAACAAAAAAACATATAACATCGAAAAATTCTGGAAATGAAAAATCAAAATTGATGAAATTAATGAAAAAAACTCAAGAAAATTCGCAAAAAAAAAAAAAAAGAAGATAAAATCAACATAAACTGAATGATGAAATCGCAAAAAGAAAAAAAAAACAGATTTTTGCTGATTTTCGAATTGATGAATTGCATATCCACAAATAATTAGAAAAAATAAAATTTCTCACAAATTCGCCAAAATAAAAAAAATTCAACAAAAATTCGCAAAAAATAGATATCAATAAATAAATTAACTAAAAGGATAATCAAAATTATAAAAATTGAATAACAAACCTTAATTTCTTGAAGGAATTTGCATCCAAAAGTATGAGAGGAGAGAGAGTTGTAATGTATGAGAGGAGAGAGAAAGAGTTGTAAATTTGTAATGTTTGAGAGGAGAGAGAGAGCTGTAATGTTCCAAGCCCAAAAAGAAAGGAAAGAAGAAACGTGAATAAGGAGAAAGAAAGGGAAAAGAACAACAAAAATTACTAAAATGCCATTACTAATCATTTATTTTCAGCGGTCAGATCAAACTAATTGTACGGTCCAGATTAGTTCTTATATATAATGGGTTCTTATATAGAGGAGGGTTCTTATATGAGCCTTCCTCTATATATATATATATATATATATATATATATATATATATAAAAGACTCGTTTAGAAACGATGGGATCATAACTCAAATTTAGAGGTAATATCGTGTCTGGTGTTATTTGCATGTAAACATTTTTAATTTTGTTAAACATAAATACGGAATATAAGGATCGATTATGCACATATTTATCTTATAGAATGACATGAAATGTTATCTTTATAATTTATAGCAATATCACATATTGATTAATAAAAAAAAATGTGTTTCGACGATTAAAGATATTAATGAGCCAACAAAACTTATGAAAGTTCAAGGTCAATCCAAATTATTATGAGCTAGCATAATTTACACTGACTTGAGACGATTGTGGATGATTAGTAAAAAAAAAAAAAAAAAAAAAAAAAAAAAAAAAAAAAAACGTCTTACATAGCTTAAAATCTAATTTCGAATTAATAACATGAATACATGATACTTCCCTTACCTTCTACTCTTGAATATAGTGTAAAATTATGGAGGACTATATAAGGTGTAGATTGATTTCTTTAAAACATATATGCATCTACTTTATTGGTGTTATTTCCATGGTAAAATATCATTCTTTTCTTTTCATTTTTTTTTTTAATTTATGCGTGTGTGAATTGGGTTGTAATTAAAAATAAAAATAAAGACTCAATATTTTAACACTTAGAAAAAGTAAGATATGCACTACATATCTTACTCCCCCTCATATACAAAATAAAGTATATATGGTGCAAAATTCACAAGTAATGGGGAATAGCTTACTCCCCCTCATTCAAAATTTTGACCCATTTTGAGTCAAAGCTTCGGGTCAAGCCGGGTCCATAATGGGCTAAAATATTACGGCTAAATTAGGGATATTACTGGGGTGGATCAAGTATGAGACTAGGGCGAGGATGGGTCTCAGTTTGACGGGTGGTGGGACAAAGATGGAGATAAAAATCATACCTATGATGAGAAGGGTGGATTTTAAGTTGGACCAACCCAATCCCCGTCCCGCCTCACCTGCCCCACTTCATACTCGTTCGGCCGTGCCGCCCTACCCGCACCCACATCCATACATTTTAGAAATTAAAATTATAAACTGAATTGCTATTCGTCGCTCCCATTTTACAGGGTAACGCTCCCATTTTGACTTGAATGGACAACTATGCCCTTTATGCAATTTGTGTTATAAAAAGGACATTGTTCCCCATTTGGACTAGAGATGGCAATGGATCGGATTTGGATCGGGTGGAGCTTCACCCGCATCCATCCATTATCCTAATTGCTCCATCCACATCCATCCGTCATCCGATTCACCCATCATCCATATCCGTCCGTCCATCATCCGCGGATGAAACGGGTGGAGCGGATGACAAATGGATGAATACTAAAATGGAAAAAAACTCAGATAAACTTTAATTTTCGGTTATTTATATAATAATTTTTTTATTTTATTAATAAAAAAGAAACAATAACAAAATATTGTTTGAAAAATTAATTTGCAACAAAAAAAAGACAAGTAATTTTCTTGCACATTCTATATATTACTAGTAAAATTCTTTGATTAAAAATTTAATATATGTTAAACGGATGGGTGGATGGTTAGCGGGTGAAAAAAGTATCATCCACATCCACATCCGATCCGATCCATCATCCGCTTCATCCGTCACCCGCTTCTCATTCATTTAATTCGGGTTTTCGTCCATTTATTTTAAGCGGGTGGAGCGGGTTAGCGGATATCCACTTAATATTGCCATCTCTAATTTGGACACATTACATGAAACGGTCCCCTCACATTACGACCTTGCTATCCCGAGCCCCCCAAAATCGGTCCCCACGACCTTAAAACCAAATCGGTCCCCACGACCACCTTAATTCTTTTATTTTAAAAAAAAATAATCATAAAATTTTTCGACGGGTCTTGGGTCATGGACGGCGAGTGGAACATTCGTACGCCGGAGAATGCGTCGGAACATTCTGTAAGTTTCTGTTTTTTTTTTCTGGAAATAGGACATCCGCCTAAAATATCTGGGTGTCCTAGGTAGATCCGCCTAAAATTTCCGGATGTACCATGGAACATCCGAAAATTTCAAGCGGAAGTAGGGATCCGCCTGAAAAATCCGGATATTCCATGGTAGATTCGGAAATTTTAGGCGGATCTACCTAGGACATCCGGATATTTTAGGCGGATGTCCCTTTTTATTTTATTTTTTTTTAAATGTTAAGTACGTTAATTTATTTTTTTAATGTTAATTAAGTTTTTTTTTTTGTTTTTTTTGTTTTTTTCGTGGTCTTGTGATTGTTGTTGTGATTAAGTATTTGATAATTAATGTAATTATTTTTGTATTAATATGATTATTAGTAATATGATTATTTTTTGTAACATTATTATTATTATTATTATGATTATGATTATGATTATGATTATTATTATTATTATTATTATTATTATTATTATCATAGTAGTTGTTGTTGTTGTTGTTGTTATTATTATTATTATTGTTGTTGTTGTAGTTGTTATTATTATTATTATTGTTGTTGTTGTTGTTGTTATTATTGTTGTTGTTGTTGATATTCTTATTATTAATTAGTAGAAATATAATTTTATAAATATTATTATTATTATTATTATATTATTATTATTATTATTATATTATTTAGTAATTAATGTTATGGTATTATTGTTTTGTATTTTTTGTTATAATTGTTTATTATTATTTTTAATATTATTATTAATATTGTTATTGTTTTGTATTTGTTGTTGTTGTTATTGTTATTATTATTATTATTATTATTATTATTGTTATCATTATTATTATTAGTAGTAGTAGTAGTATTGTTGTTGTTATTATTATTATTATTATTATTACTATTATTATTATTATTATTATTATTATTATTATTATTATTATTATTATTATTATGACATAAACCATGTTTTGTTTAATTTGTATAGGATATGGAATCTGAGGAAGGCGGTGACAGTGTGAATTATAGTGGGAATTTTGTCACGGATACGTTTTTTCCAACATTTGACGATGTAGTTACATGGGCTGATGGTGTTTCCATAAAATTGGGATTTATTTTGGTGAAATCGTCTTATAACAAAACCAGAGATGGTCGGCCGTATCGGTATTTACGATGTGATCGGTCACGAAGGAGCAAGCCGAGAGATTTGGAGAACGCGATACGGAAGGACACCAAAACCAAAGCTAATGATTGTCCATTCTACATTAAGATATATTATGAAGTCAGCACCGACAGTTGGAAGATCATTGCGAAAAATGATCACACCGGGACACATAACCACCTAATGATTGTGTACCAAGAGGGTCACCGTAGAGTGAGCGGATTGAGTCCGGGTGCAAAACAGGTTGTGCGGGACATGACAAAGTCCAAGGTTGCGCCCGTAACATCATGTCCACTATTGCCGAGCAATTTCCTGATGATCATCTAAACATCCGACACATTTACAATTGCCGGAATGACTTCAGGATGGAGATGTTCGAAGGAAGAGGAGTAGTTCAGCAATTTCTTCATCAGGCGAGAGAGAGTAAATACATTTACTGGGTCACGAACGATGATCACAACATTTTGCAACATGCATTTATGGTGCACCCGATCATGGTCAACATACTCCGCACATACCCACATGTCATAGGTATGGATTCTACTTACAAGACCAATCGATATAACATTCCTTTCTTTGAGGTAGTAGGTGTGACACCGACAAACCAGAATTTTCTAGTTGGATATGTTTTCATGCGCGACGAGTGCACGGCTAGCTATCGGTGGGTGTTGCAGAGATTCAGGGAGTTTATTGGGTTTGATAAAGAGCCATCTATATTTATTTCAGACCGTGATCTTGGGCTATGTGTGGCTTTGAGAGAAGTCTTTCCAGGGACGTCACATTTACTCTATATATGGCACATCAACAGAGATGTGGAGGCTAAGGTGACGAAGATGTTCGGAAACAAGAAGGTTGGTGTCAGTTTTAGAAATGGGAAATGGTTCAAAATCGTGAATGCAACAACACAGGCGGAGTATGATTATGCTCTAGCTACCATGCAAGTGAGGTGGGGAAAATATCCGGCAGTGATTCAGTATGTTCAGAGAACATGGCTTTGTCATAAGGAGAAATTTGTGAAATATTGGACGAACCAGGTTCTTCACTTTGGTAACACCACCAACTGCAGAGTTGAGAGCCAACATTCAGCAGTGAAAACTTGGTTTGAATCATCCACAGGTTAGTTGTTTTATTTTATTAGTTGTTCTCGTTGTTACGTAATTGTAATTATAATAAAAAAAAATTAAAATGTATTTACTAATTTGAATCATTGGCAGGTTCTTTGGATACCGTATGGGCCCGAGTCCATTGTCATATCGGTAATCGAATCATACAAATTCGTAATGAGTTGGAGGCATCAAGGTCTAAAATTGGTCAGATGTACAGACAGTTGCCACTGTCACATATAAATGACAAAGTGTCTCAACATTGCTTGAAAGAACTGCATAACAAGACGAAAAGGATGCGGGATTTGAGTTACCAGGTCCATGAACGTTGTGGATGTGCTATGCGTGTGACCCATGGTCTTCCATGTGCTTGCCAGATACATGATTCGATAGTTGCACAGTCAGGATTGTATAGCAACCAAATTCATTCTTTCTGGAAGACACTGGTTATTGGTGATGGTGTTAACATTCCTGAAGTGGTTAATGATTCGACCGAGGAGACTGCACATTGTCGATCCCTAATTGATGAAGTCATGGAAAGTGACCCGGCCGTACATCGAAATGTAACGCGAATCATTGAAGAGGAGCTACATCCAGATCATACACACCTTGAAGAACCACATGTCAACCTCAACACTCGTGGTCGACCGAGGAACAATGACACCAGGCGTGATCGAAGTTATTTCGAGCATGTGAACCGTCAACACACTCAACGTGGTGGTGACCCAGAACCAGGTAATATTAAAATTCTATTGATTTTGAATAATATATGTAATATTAATATATGTAAACTTAATACTTGTAGCTTTACTAATAATTTATCTTTTAATTTTGTGTTGTAGATCCAAGTGACATTAGTCAATGCAGGTATTTGAACTTGCTTCCAGGCCCAATGTTCCGTACATTTTGAAGGAGTTATGTCTTCGATAAGTGCAATTACTAGATATATCAAGGATCACGATAATGGAGATAATTAGTTCATTCTATAGGGTCGTCAATGTTTGGTGCTAGATATGACAATTGATCTTTGGGATAGCTTAATGGCCCAAAGCCTTATAGAATGGATCCTACAAGGTCACACATAAGAGTATCGGGTTAAACAAGTTAGAGGCCCATTATTGGGCCTCATGAGTTCATGATATACCATGTTGATAATTGGTCTTAGATAGTTAGAAGAGTCTAATGGGTTTTGGACTTGACATGGTTTTATTTCTAGATATGATCTATAAATATAAACCATGCCTAGGGTTTCATATACAACAATTAACATACAGTGAATTGTCACACAAGCAACCAAGTTTCCCAAAAGCCCTAACTCTCTGTCTCTCTACTCGGCCCTCTCTCTCTCCTCCCTGTCCGTACGGCCCTCCCTTGTGGGTGGCACGTGTGGTGGCGCGTGGGTGGTGTTGTGGTGTGTTCATGGCTCAAATCTCCGTTGAAGGTTGATTGAATTGAAGTGTTCAGTCACAACTAACTAGCATTAGTGGAGGTTTAATCCGTGCTCGTGGACTAAGTAGAGGAATCACGCTTGGGGTTCTTTATCTCCCATTGTTCTTGCTCGATCGCACGTGGAATCATGCTTCAAAGGTACGATTATATGTTCTTTATGTGTTATGCATTAGATCTTGGGGTTAGGTACTGTATGAATATGATTCATGTTTATTTCCGCTGCGTAGTACCTATAATTCCCTACACATTTCGTCTTGGAAGGATGTCATTGGTGATGGGAACTGTGGCTTTTGTTGTGTCGCCGACTTCTTCTTTGGCGATCAGGCGCTGTGTTTTGACGCTCGGGAAACAATAGCGAACAAGATCGCCGGCCATCCTGATTTGTACGAACGGATTTACGGGCTTGGACGACTTTGGATGAACGTAGATCGTATTCGGTGGGATGGTGGGGCTGTCGGGGAGCGGCATTGGATGGTTACAATTCAAGATTTATTTCCTATTGCTACGTGGTTCAACGCAAGGGTGATTTATCTCGGGGTAGGCCTAGTACCAACTTGCTACTACCCATGCATCACAGTCTTACCGCTGAGGGCACGCAACGGGGTTCAGACACCGACTCGAGAGTTTGTGATTGCTACAGTTGGTGGATCACATTTCATCCGTCTTGACCTTGTACCTGATTCACCTCTCCCGCCGATTGCCGGTTGGTGGACTGAACACCACGAGGATAGTGTTAATGGATGGTATCAACAATATGAATTTAGAAGGGACATGTGGGATGCATTAGTTAGGTAGTTTGTAATGTACATTCACTAACTTTGAACATTTGTAAGAAAATTAGAATTATGAAATTAATTTTAAATGTACTTGCTTTTAATCTAACATGATATGAAACAAAACATAAAATATAAAAACAAATAAGTGTCCAGTTTATACATTACATTTAAAAAAAAAATTAAGTTCAACAAATAATTAAAACCACTAACACGACTTCTAATCAAAATAATCTAAAGTCCCATTTTCGACTTCCAATCAAATACAAGCTACTCAGTCATTGTCTGAGTCTCACTCGACATTTCAGGATACTCAGCCAGTGCTCTTTGGTGAATCTCCATGGACCGACCCATCCACTGCAAATCAAACAATAACATATTATATACACAAAAATTCATAGAAGTCATTGTTAATATTATAATAAGCATAAATACTTACATAATCAGTGTTAGTCCTCTCAGGTAGGTTGCTTGTAACTCCTGCACCTGGAGATACCCGCGGGTGAGAAAACCTGTACAGCCACTGCATGTAACTAGGCGCAACCGAAGGAGTTGCACTCTAAGCCTGGTGAGGGCACCTAAAACTACACTTTGAGATACCCCAGGGACAAACCTCTTCCACATCTGTCATCTCGGTCGGGAATTCTACCCGACACATCACATCTGTCATCTCGGTCGGGAAGTCTACCCGATACATCTTTAAGTTAGTCGGCCTCTTGGCCTTCTCTGGCCTGATGATCTCGCAGGGAATGCCTTGCACGAAACCAAGCTGTCGCACCACTCTATCAGGCATGTACGACTCAATGATGTTACGGTACTGAATGCAGCCAATGAATAAAGTGGGGGGCACTCGTAATGCAGGATCAGCAACGTACGGTAGCCAGTTCATCTCATAGTCAGTAAGCGCATCAATTCTAGTACAAAAATATAACAAGCGCTCCAGGTTCTTGCTAGGACATCCCGCTCCAACATCCTAAGCAGACACACGAGGCATTTGAAGGTCCCGGGTCAAGGTACCCTACTATGGCCAAAAGCACGGAAAGTACTCGTAAATCCACGCTTGCAGAAGCGTGAGACAACCAGCAATCGAATCGGCACCTTTCCGTGATGCCGTGCCTAGTTGCCGATACAAGTAGGCCAGTGCAGTTGTTCCCCAAGCATACTCGTTAATAGGGACATCCATATAACATAGCTCGTGGAGGAAGGAAGGATGCGTACGGTTACCACTCTTGTCTACAAACAGCTGTTCCCCAAGCATACTCGTTAATAGGGACATCCATATAACATAGCTCGTGGAGGAAGGAAGGATGCGTACGGTTACCACTCTTGTCTACAAACAGTGTACCTCCAAGCACTAACCACAAGTATCCATTAAGCTGATCACTAAACTCCCTGTCAACCGCCAATGTCGACTCAAAAATCTTATCAGTCAACACCCCACTACCCTGCCAAATGGTCTTTGTGCCGCAAATCTTAAATAAATCATCTGGAGTCATATCCATGGTGATCGAGCACGCGTCCCGTAACACGTCCGTGCTAGGAGTAGTGATGACCATATTGCCTTCGACACGTAACCCAAGTATGTTGTACACGTCGTGCAACAAGATCGTAATCTCCCCAAATGGCATATGAAAGGTGTTTGTATCTGGCTGTCATCTCTCAACAAAAGCAGAAATCAGCGGCCAATCAAGTCTTTTAAACATCAGCTCGGGCAAGTGAGACAACCAACTAGCATCAATCGCCCCGAGGTCCTCCACTAATTGACGACCTCGCCAAGTAAACAAGTCAGAACATAACTTTGTCCTACTCAAACAGCGCAAAACACTACGCTCCTGCTCGATCCAAATATATCGTGCCACGTGACCACCAAAACTAGGGATAACAGTCCCATCCTCAGGACCACCCGGCATCGGTTCCTGCACTAACCATGCCTCTGCAGAGCTGGTAGTAGGCTGACTCGATCCACTACCAACAAATCTCCCAAACTGACCCCTATATACCGTATGGTAATCCCGAGGGTCCGGTTTTTCGCCACGACCATCAGCATGACTAGCCGAGCATTCGTCTTCCTCGTCAGATATGGATGCTCCACTTGCAGAGTACAAGGGTCGACTACTACCAGACTGTGGGTCTCCCGACCAACCACTAGTAGACCCGTATTGCTGCTCGGGCTGAAGTGGTGCTGAACGAGATGACTGTCTCCTAACAGACGCATTCAGACGTCGTGATATTGCATGTCGAGCACCAGAACCCTCGATCTACATAAAATAAGTACAAAATCCGATTTTAGTAATAATAATAATAATAATAATAATAATAATAATAATAATAATAATAATAATAATAATAATCAAAACAACAACACCAACAATCATAATCATAATAACAACAACAAAAAAATTTAAAATTAACAACAACAACAACAATAACCATAATAACAATAATAATAACAACAACAACAGAAAATAAAGTTAACAACAACAACAATAACCATAATAACAACAACAAATAAAATTAACAACAACAACAATAACCATAATAACAATAATAATAACACTAATATCAACAACAATAATACTAATCATAATTAAAAATAATAATAATAGTACTACTAATAACAATAATAATAATATTATTATAACAACAACAACAACAACAAAAAATAAATTTAACAACAACAATAACCATAATAACAATAATAATAATAATACTAATCATATTTTTAAAATTAATAACACTACAAAATATGCTTCAAAAAAAAATAACACTTCAAAATAACAACAAAAATAACAAAATCCAAAAAAAAAATTTAAATTAACAATAAAAAATTAAAAAAGCATAATATTCACGGAAAAAAAAATTAAAAACCGGAAGTTCCGCCCAAAACTTCCGTATTTTTCAGGCGGAACCTCCTTGAAACTTTCAGAAATTTTGGGCGGAAGCTGGAGGTTCTGTTTTAAAAAAAAAAAATTACCTGCTCGCCGTCGAATCCGCCACCGCCGCCGCCGCAACCTCCACCGCCGCCCAAACTCCTCCCTCCGAATGTAAGCCTTATTCGCCTCGGATCACCCATCCTTTTTTGTGTTTTTGATGATTGTTGTTTTTTTTTATTAACAAAAAAATTTCAGATTTAGAGTTTCAAGTTTTTTAGAGAGTTAGAGAGTTAGAGGGATAGTGAATGAGGTAAGAATGAGTTGGAGAGTTAGAGCTTAGGATTGATCTACAAACCCAAATGAATGGAAAAGTGGAAAAAACCGTATTTTAATGTTAGGGGTAAAATTGGAACTTCAAGTCAAAATGCGAGCGTTACCCTGTAAAATGGGAGCGACGAATAACAACCCCTATTATAAACTTTTACACTATTTAATATATATATATATATATATATATATATATATATATATATATATATATATATATATATATATATATATATATATATATATATATATATATATATATTCTCAACATAATATTCTCCGTTTACTTTTATTCCTCCAACTCCAACTCCAACAAGGGCTTTCCTCACAACTTCACAAGATTGCTACGGATCCTGATCCTGCTTCCTTATCTTATTGCACACTTTAAGCAACCCTAAGAGCTACCAGAAGGACAAGCCTATAACAAAGGAAATTTTATTCGGCTACGAAAACATGGACTAAGCTTTGCTTATGACCACACTTGTTGTTGACCATTACTATACAACCTAAGAACAAGCTTGTAGGAGATAGCTGCAGAGGAGGATAGTCTCTTTAAACAAAGCCACATCGAAGAGCTACGCAGATTGGACCGCTTCCCCCCTTTACCATAAACCTCCCTTTATATGAGCACGCAAAAGGTTTTGAGACGCTCGACCATAGGGAGAGGAAGGACTGGTTGGTTCTTCGATGAACCTGAAGAAGAAATGCTTTTTGGTCCCCCTTTGTAAGTGAAGGAAAAGTAGTTCCGGTGAGCTGTTCAGTAAGGAATCGATTCGATGAAAGAAAAGCGTTTTAGGGTAGTCACTAGTAAGGGGAAACGAACGTGAGTCTTATACATGATGGCTCGATAAATAGGAAGGATTTATAACTGCCAAAAATATGATGAATTAGGAACGATGTCGGGGAATCGATCCAAAGTATGGTTGAAGGACCCACGGGGCGGTAACTAGCCCTAAAAGGTAAGGAAGGGAGGCCTTGAGTTGAGCTTTTCAACCTAGCCAAAGCCAACCTTCTTTCTTTGATATTCTAGCTCGTGGGGAAAAAAGTCCTTTGATCCTATCGATTCTAGTTCTATACCCATTTCCCCTCCTTTAATGGCTTACTACCCATGAAAGGGACTTTTCTTCTGTTTAAGAGGATTCCTATACCCTAGAAATTTACCTATACCGCCCACTAACCATATGGTAAACCGAATGATATTCTGCTTCCTTCCAAGCCCACTAGAAAGAGATCGAGTCAAAATGCCTTCTTCTTACTATCTATTCAAATTATATTCTCAATCGGCGAAGTCTCGTTGTATTGAAAGCGGTAAATTGGTGCTTTTATCCAGTGAAGCATGAGAGCCCCCCTTCTCAGGCATTCACTAGTTAGCTAAACGAAAGCCAAAGAAGTCGGGTATCTCCTTCAGGCGGGATGTAATGAATCCACTGTATAATATAGTAAGCCCATCTCTGGATTATGTCTTTCAATGAAAGATTTGAATATATCAATCTCATCAATCGAATCACTTTTTAGAGAAAGACGAGATAGACGTCTAAGTCATACAAGTAAAAAGATCTAGTCAAGGATTGCATCAACCAGATGTTGAGAATGTGTGTGTGTGTGTGTATATATATATATATGTATATATATATATATGTAATACTTTGAACTGTAATAAACTTAAAATAAATATAAACAAAAAAAAAACGACTAAGGGCCTGTTCTCATTGACTGAATACAGCTGAGCTGAACTGAACTGAACTGAGCTGAACTGAACTGAACTGAACTGAAATGAATATTTTATAAGAGAAGGAAATTAGGAGCTGAGCTGAACTGAATT